ATCCAGTTAGTTACTTCTTACTTTGGTGCTGCGGCTTGAAGCAGATTTAATTATAAGTTGCTACCAAGATACCTTTAGTTTGATTATGAAGTTTTAATAGGCGTGTTTTATCAATACAAACACCACTACATGCTCCTAATTGGGCATTTATATTGTATATTAAAATTCATTTAACTTTACTAATTATTTAATAATTATTATCATGAATAAAATAATTATAAATATAATAAATATATGTATGTATATAAATTAATGCCACTTTTCGTTGTAATTTTATAACTCAAGAACGGGCTCACCTATCCAAACCAAATGTTTAGGCTTTTTTCGAACTATTTAGTAGATGGTTTATGTGAAGTTTGCACAAAATCGGTCGAGCGGTTCTTCATTTATCACATATTTTGTAACAAATGAATTCAATAAATGGCGGATCATTTTGTTAATGGGGATTTTTGTGTCAAATTCAAACTTTTTTAAGATAGGGATTGGGCTGTCAAATTGAAACCTTTTTCAGTGTTGACAGTTTTTTTGTTTGAATAAATGAATTAGATTTTTTTTTATTATCTATTATTATTTCACTTTATACGTAGCGAAGCACGTACCAGGCTGCTAGTATATACATATATACCCCCTTAAATGCTTGTGTAATATCATCCCAATTGATATATCCTTGATAATTTGTGACTAAGTGTGAAAACTAAAACAAAAATATATATCTAATAAGAGGCTTAATGATTCAATCGCTAATAAACTTAACAGACGTCTATATCCCTAAAATAACCATAATAAACTTAATGTAATGAAAGTAAAATTTCTATTAGCGCAAAGTGATGAAAACGTAGTAATGACATTCGTCAACAGATTAACAAGAAGTCGGTGGGATTAGGAGCGTGTGGGGCACGCGACCTTGGCCCAATTTTGATAAGTCGATAGAAGCTACCCCTCGTTTCGGACCGTATTCCAGATCTTTTCGTATACAGGGAGTAGCGGAAATTGTATACCGAGCCGAAATCCAGTGTTAATTTCCTGAAAGTGAACAATTTTAATTTCTCGTTCACGTGATAAATTTAGAATAAAAGATTTTTTTTATACAACATAGAATGGCAAACAAGCTGACGGCCCACCTGATGGAAAGTGGTAACCGTCGCCTTACATACATGAGCAGTACCGCGGACATAACAGAGTAAACTGTTTCGCCCATGATACCCCCCATGCGTTGCCATTCCTGAGGACTCAGGTGTTATTCCTCTGTACCCTGTAAATTCATGCCATATCCCAACCTTCAAACCGAAACACAGCCATACAAACACAACTGCTTCACGGTTGAAACACGAATGGGACAGAGGTACCAAAGCAAACGACTTTTGTACAAAGTCTCCCTCTGGTCACATAATGATTACTAGGGACCCGCCTCGGCTTCGCACGGGTACAATATTACATTTTAGTGAGGCTGATATTTTAACGTGCGTGAAAGTAGATAGATAGATACACTTTATTGTTTCATTACATTATAAAACAATAAAGAGTATCTATCTACTTTCATATTACTTTATCATATTACTTATGGATCGCAAATCGTTCATGTACAAAAAAATTACTTTTCTTTTTATTTAGGTTTTTATCGTAATTTTAGTTAAATTCCAAAGATTTTAACCATATTGGAATTCCCGGTTCGCGAAGAGTATAGGGACGTGACTTCTGAATAATCAGCGTGTACCCCATAAAAGTTAAGTAGATAAATAGATAGATAGATAGATAATCAATAATGTATATTCCTGTGGTGTTACTTAGGAGATGTATTTCACTTTCTTGCAAAAATATAGAGTTTTGGCTTGTTATTGTTGCCCCTTCCGTTATACCCTGTATATATTTGATGGCATTCATTGACAGCTAAGGCCGTAAGCTTTGAATTATTACCGCGTACAGTTTACTGTTATTAATAAGGCCGTGTTGATTTTATTACAGTCATTAAAAGAGCTCTTAGAGATGTAATGATAATGTTTACGATAAAATTGATTTTATAGATGAGTCGTATTTCGTCATAATTTCAGCCATTAACTGTCCACTGCTGAATATAAGCCTCCCCATAAGAGGAGTTTTGCCAGTAGTTGCCAAGATTGGCAGGCGGGCTGGCAATCGCAGTTAGGCTTTTGCTGATATTTTAAGAGGCTGCTGCCCATCTGCTCTACTAATAAGTTCTTTTAATCGCTTCTTACGACACCCACAGAATGAATGATGATGGAAGGAATGGCCTATTATGCTCGGCTCACGCAGCCATATTTAGGGACGTAGAAAATTTTCATCATCGTATCAGCCAAAAACCGTTCACTGCTAAAAATAGGCCTCTCCTATAGACTATCATAAGGGACGGTACCGAACCACTTGTATTCACTGACTCCCAGCAGCGCATTTGAGGTCATTGCTCCATCAAGTGGGAGGTCTTTTTTTATTGGATGAAAATGGAATGGTAATACCGCCTGCGCTAACGGGATACGCTGGCGGGCCACCGGTGAAGGGTGATAGATGAGAATGAAAACAGGCCAGTTAGCCCATCATGATGAATTCATCAGGAATTAATCATGATAGTTTCCAGGGGGAACCACGAGGAGGTCGACCTGGTTGGGTATATTGCTAGCAATGGTATTCTTAGTCTCCATTACTAACAATCCCTTTCCCCCCTCGAGTGGGAGGTCGTCTTAAACCGTGTTTCTCTATGGTCACTGAAAAATCTTTCTTCCCCATCGGTTGTCGGTTCTTAGAACTATGTGACCAATCCATTGACACTACATTGAACCTGAACTTCAATTCTTTAGAATTCGCAGAGTGGTATGGTAGTAAATATTTTAAGATATTAGAGTAGGAACACAACATATCACTTCTCTTTTTTCCCCAGGACGACATATAGACAAATTCACTTTTAAATTTATAATATTAGTAAGGATTTGAGATATATCTATTTGGATAACTCTCAATTTCCAATGTAATTTCTAAACTATGCGTAGCATCCTGTATATTTGTTAGTATTATAATATATTCTTATGGGAAAGAAAACTCCTAGTCAGCGCCATCAGTCATTACACACAGAGTTGTCAGGTCTAAGCAAAAATGTTCGTAGAAATTATGCCAAAAATTCAGCATATATTTTGTTTATGGATCATCATTTACCAGAGGGAGACTTTGTACAAAAGTCGATTGCTTGAGTACCTCTGTCCCATTCGTATTTCTACCGTGAAGCAGTTGTGTTTGCATGGCTGTGTTTCGGTTTGAAGGGTGGGATATGGCGTGAATTTTCAGGGTACAGAGAAATAACATGTGAGTCCTCAGGAATGGCAACGCATGGGGGGTATCATGGGCGAAACAGTATACTCTGTTATGTCCATGGTACTGCTCATGTCTATAGGCGACGGTTACCACTTTCCATCAGGTGGGCCGTCAGCTTGTTTACCATTCTAAGTTGTATAAAAAAAATCTTGACTTGATGTTTTATATTCGTGTTTTATCTCGCGATACCTACTGCCGTTTTGGTTTATTTCAGTTATTTTCACAGTATACTGTCCTATGCAAACGCAGTTATGTTTTGGTGATTTTTTTTTAGAGGGATGCTGCTGCTTATCCTTCAACCATTATGTTTCCTTTTTCGCCTTTTATAACACCCACAGATAAAGAAGGTGTAGCCAATTCTATTCCGGGGACCACACAACAAGTATGGCAACCACAGGCAAAATACTCCAGTAGGGGGAAGGGATTGTTAGTAATGGAGACTGAGAATCCCATTGCTAGCAATATACCCAACCTGGTCGACCTCCTCGCGGTTCCCCCTGGAAACTATCTTGGTTAATTCCTGATGAATTCATCATGATGGGCTAACTGGCCTGTTTTCATTCTCATCTATCACCCTTCACTGGTGCTCCGCCAGCGTATCCCGTTAGCGCAGGCGGGGTTACCATACCATTTTTACCGGATTTCTTTTTTTTAATGGGTGATAATGGAATGGTAATCCCGCCTGCGCTAATGGTATACGCTGGTGGGGCACCAGTGAGGGAGGATAGGTGGATAATGAAAAAACAGGTCAGTTAGCCCATCGTAATGAATACATATAGAATCCAGCACGATGGTTTCCAGGGGGCACCACGTGGAGGTTGACCTGACACGGTATATTGCTAGAAATGGGACTGGTAGTCCGCGTTACTAACAATCCCTTCCCCCCCTCCAGTAGGTAGAGACCTATGTTCAGCAGTGAACAATTAACGACTGATATAAAAAAAACTGTCTTGTGAGATATTTTATATTAGCTATGGGCTAAAGCGGCCAACCACCAAAAGAATATTTGTACTGCAAAAATATGACATTCGCGCTATTTATTTTATGGAAAGTCATTAATTATTAAGAGAGAGATTTATTTTTAATTAGCGGCGCGTCCTGGCGTCGCACGGGTGGACATTCTTACATTTTAAAAAGTGGCCATCATGGCTGCACACGCGACGGAAGCTTAAAAATAGAGTAACTTCTCCCGTTTTCCCAACATTTTCCTTCACTGCTCTGCTCCTATTGATCGTAGCGTGATGAAAAGTATACTATAACCTGCCCAGGAGTATGAAGAATAATTGTACCAAGTTTCGTTAAAATTCGTCAAGTAGTTTTTGTTTTTATAACGAACATACAGACAGACAAACAAAAATTTTACTGATTGCATTTTTGGCATCAGTATCGATCACTAATCACCCCCTGGTAGTTATTTTGGAAATATATTTCATGTACAGAATTGACCTCTCTACAGATTTATTATAAGTATAGTTAAGTATAGATAAGCAATAGTTCTCACCATACCTTCACAATACATATACATATATATCTATGAAATATTTTGTATATACTCAGAAACCTTTGATTTCTAATTAAAATTATTAATATTAATTAAAAAAAAAAATGACGATTTAAAAGAATTTGTTAAACAAGGTTGTTTAAGTAAAGACGATTTATGTTCTATTCTTCTTTGTCATCAGGACCTCATTGCCAGTTGCCCAATTCAGCCGCGGCGACTTCTCCCTCTGGTCGGTGCTGAAGAACTGCGTGGGCAAGGAGCTGTCAAAGATCACAATGCCGGTGGTGTTCAACGAACCGCTCTCGTTCCTCCAGCGGATGCTCGAGTACCTGGAGTACGCGCATCTGCTGAGGATGGCTTCGGAGCAAACGGATCCAGTCGCCAGAATGGAGTATATTGCTGGTAGGTGTACGGTAACAGATCTGGGAGGGGGGAGGAAGCAGGGAAAGGTAGGCAGGGCTAGTAATAGACACATAACATCCACGGGGTTCTTTCTAAAACCGCTATAGTGAATTCATCACGATAGGTTTTAATGAGTCCAGTTCATCTTCTCCTATTATGCTTCACTGGTGCCCCGACAACATATACCAGTAGCACAGGCGGCGTTACCATTCCACTATCATCCACTAAAAGTACATCGTAATGTCATAACCAGAGGCTTTATTATAAATAAAATATACCTAATATATACATACCAAAACTGTAATATTTTGAAATTTTATCTGTCTGTATGTTTGTATGTTTGTTGCACGAAATTTGATGCGGTTTTCACAGTTGTGTTCCTGAAAGTCTAACTTAAAATGTAGTGTATGTGTCAGCGTATTAAACGCCATTTTTAACTAATATGTTTCACTGGGTTTCCTGCTTCTAAAATCCATACTTACAAAGTAACGGGTAAAAAGCGAATAAGTTATAAACGTTTTAAATGTTTGTTACTTAACCACATTGGAAAATCCGAAGGGACTTGACTAATTGTTATATTGTTTTTTAATATTTATCTTACCTGCTTCAATTCTATATTTGATGTAATACATTTTAATAGACAAGTCTGAAAGTCTAAAATTAATTATATACCTAATTTTATTTATCCTTAAAGTCTTAAAACAGTATTTAATTTACATTCTTAGCCCTAATTAAGGAAACAAAGCGTCCAAATCTACTTACTTAACGGACACTTAAGGGAATTTGGAGAGAGACATAATAAGAAACTTGGAAAGCTCCACAAAGTTGTGATAAATTACTACCACTATGATTTATTATGATGGAGGAATTTTCTATAAAATACTTTATATTTTTATCTGTCTGTTAAGGCACCAGTAAATTTTGAAAATACATTTAGATATGTTTGTTATTTAATCATGCTTAAACTGTATATTATACATATACACACACTTATACGCACACACACATACACGCACACACACATACACGCACACACACATACACGCACACACACATACACGCACACACACATACGTATGTATATACACATAGTAAGTTTAATCACTCTATCAAGTCGACCTTCGAGCTATTGCCCCCAGAAAACATTTCAGTTAATTCTTGTCGAATTCGGCCAACTTACCTACTCTCATCCTCACCTCTCATCTTTCACTGGTGCCCCGCTAGTGTTCTTGTATATCGATAACGCAGGCAGGATTACTGTTCCTTCAACACCAATTAAAAAAAAATACATTTTGATTTTGAAAATAGTCGATTAACAAATGTTTTGAATTTAGTAATTGAATTATTCTTAACTTTGACATTCCAGTTGCTTAAATAACGTACATTTAATAGCTGAAATCAATCATCGAAATCAGAAAAAATAGCTTCAGTTGAATAAGTGATTGCCGTATGGTTCCATAGAACAGGCCACCCCTTACTTTCCAGTGGGTATCGGAAGAGGCGACTAAGGGAGAGCGAGTGATGGGCAGCTGCGTTTCTCTTAAAACATTTCCAAAGCCTAACTCCGGTTGTCAATCCACCTGCTAAGCATAGCAACTACTGGCAAAACCTCCCAACAGGGAGACTTGTGTTCAGCAGTGGATAGTTAAAGGCTGATATGATGATGATGATGGATAAGTGATTACAATAATGTTGTTTATCATTAATAATGGTGTTTTTTTTTATTTTAGCGTTTGCTGTGAGCGCATTGGCTTCAAATTGGGAACGTTTGGGCAAACCATTCAATCCACTCCTCGGAGAGACTTATGAGCTCGAGAGACCTGAATTTAGAGCAGTTTGTGAACAAGTAAGTCGGTTTTAGCCTTTTAAAGGATTATTTTATTTCTTAATATATTTATCTTCACTCATATCACACAATTGCTAACAATTTCCCAGAAGAAAATCAATTATACGAGTGGTAAACCATATTAAGCAAGGCAAAGTTTCGCTTTAGAGTTAAGGGCTAGATACGGCCTGTGAGCTTGAGATCGTCGCCAATTCCCGCAGAATTCATATTTAACAATAGAAACGTTAACGTTTTCCACATGTTTCAGGTGTCCCACCATCCGCCAGTGTCCGCGTTTCACGCTGACAGTCCTCATTTCGTCTTTCATGGTTCTGTCCACCCCAAACTCAAGTTCTGCGGTAAGAGCGTTGAGATTCAACCCAAAGGTCATGTGACTGTGGAACTGCCCAGGTAAATTTGCAACTTTGAACACACTTTTCTTTAATGGTCTAAGCGATTATTGTAACTCATTCACAAGGCTTAGATGGCACAAGAGTCAAGCTTAAAATGCGTTGTGATCTTTGGATCTTGTGATCTGAGGATCTTACTTGAGTTACGGTACGTACAGACTGTAGCAGTAATTATTGGTTTGTTTTTATTTTTTAATATATTAAATCTTACTTCCGAAATGTATGTATTGGCAACTTACATGAATGCTAAAATTCTCATTAGCTCATAATATAATAAGGGATTGCCTGAAAGTCAATGCAATATAGATGCATCTCGCTAGAGGTTTATTACCAGCAAAATGTTGTGTTTATTTTTCTTTATTGTTGCTTTTTTCTAACTGTAAATATTAACGTTGTTGGTACTAAAGAGATCTACGTATCTATCTATCAAGGTAATTACACGATTTGAAGGCATAAGGCAACCTATGGAATACCATGGATGTCACAATGCGTTCTGTACTCTCCATGAATCTGTGCATGACTACGTGTATAGGCGAGGTTTACAATTTTCTATCAAGTATAATAATTTTAAATTACATACAATACAGGATGAATATGATATCGATTTAATACTTACAACCTTTTAATATATGTCTTGTTTTGTTTGTTACATACAATACCCTGCTTTCAGTATGAAAATAGTTATTAATATTTGCCGTGTGATCCCGGCATAGAATAGGCCATTTCCTTCCTTCCCATGGATGTCGTTAGAGGAGCTAAGGGAATTTAATGATCGAGGGATGGGTGGCAGCGTATTTCTTAAAATATCACCTAACCCTAATACCAGGGGGGGGGGGGGGAAGAAGGTATTGTTAGTAATATACCCTGTTAGGTCGACCTACTCGTGGTCCCCCCTGGAAACCATCGTGATTGATTTATTATTAGATTCGTCACAGTGGGCTAACTGACCTGCTTCATTTTCATCTATCATGCTTCACTGGTGCCCCGCCAGTGTATAAAGATGGCGCAAGCGGGGCTACCATTCCATTATCATTCATTAAAAAAACCCTAATAGCGGTTTTTTTGATGGATGAAAATGGACCGAACAACTTTCCTGAGAGAAAGTTCCTTCGCGTGGGTGTACGTGCGCCCCTTTACAATAACTTTACTGAATTCCAAATATTAAAACAATACGAGTATATTTGCCACTCCACAATTCTCAGATATACAAAGGTTAATCGGAAGAAATGATTTTATAGAAACAGACCGGCATTGTACTCATTCTTTATTACAAACTGTTTTTATTTATTTATTAGACACATAAAGACATCATAACATATACATATAACTTAAATAGTAGAAATGATAGTACAGCCGTTAAATGTACGCTACTGATCATAGGCCTCTTTCTTGGGGAGGTTAACCAGTAGTTGCTACGCTTAGCAGGCGACTTGGCAACCGCTATTAGGGTGGGGGGGAAAGGGATTATTAGACTGAGACTGAGAATTCCATTGCTAGCAATATACCCAACCAGGTTGACCTCCTCGCGGTTCTCCCTGGAAACTATCATGGTTAATTCCTGATGAATTCATCATGATGGGCTAACTGACCTGCCTTTTTATTCTCACATATCATCCCTCACTGGTGCCTTGCCAGCATATAGCATTAGCGCAGGTGGGACTACCACTCCGTTATCATCCATAAAAAGAAAAAAACCCTAAAAAAAACAGTAAAATATGTAATTTTTAGGTGGGGTGAAGCATACACGTGGAGTAACGTCAACTGCTGCGTCCACAACGTCATCGTTGGCAAACTGTGGATTGAACAGTATGGCCCTATGGAGGTCGTGTGCCATGGAGGGGCTGGACTGAAAGCTAATCTGTCCTTCAAGCCGGCTGGCTTTAATAATCGGGATTTGCACAGAGTTGACGGTTTTATTGTGGACTCCAAGTAAGTATTTCTACTCTTTTTGATTCTATCGCAATTGCAATAATATTTTCACATGATTGGTGATCCAATAGAGACAGTATAACAACAGTCAGTTATTAATTACTTCTTACTATTTGTAATAAACCTTTATATGTAATTAAATCTCATTATAGAGTTACAAAACGGTCTATAACAAGTAACTCTGCACCAATTTCTCTTCCACACTTTCTAGAAACCATTTTGGTTAATTCGTGTGAAATTGAATTGTGTAACTGACCTGTGAATGAGCTAACTGATTCGTTTTCATCATCATCTATTAAGCCTCACTGGTGCTACGCCAGCGCAGCGGGGTTACCATTTCATCATCACCTATTAAAACTACTCTTTCCCTGTCTCTCTTTCTTGCCCTTTCCTTCATGCATCTTTATCGACGTTAATCATTTTTTCATAGTTATTTTCACCATTTTGAGCTAACAATTCTACTATATTTGATATAGTTATAGTGTAGTATAGTTAACTCAGGTTTCCACCAGCTAAAACTTTTTTTTTATTTAAGTCCACCTAAATATTAGATATGTAAAAATCACACAATACATGAGAGGTAATTATAACGTTCATCAGAAAGAACTACTTATTACATAATTTATTCCGTGTTCACAGTAAGAAGCGCGTCCGGTTCCTGTACGGTAAATGGACGGAATACATAAAGTGCTGTAATGCTGCAGCTTACGAGCAATGGGCCAAAGAAAGGGGGGAAGAAGCGAGCGCGCAGCAGACTCCGTCCCACACACCCAAGAAAGTGCTCGCTAAACTCAACAGCTTTAAAGTGGGGGCGCTGCGGTCTATGTCGGTACAAGACGTAAGTCATAATAATAATAATAATAAATAATTTTTATCCAAAAAAAACTTAATAATAAGCATTTTTGAACAGTATTTTTTTTTATAAACTACCGCCCCGTTCAGAATGCAATTTCAACTGTAAAGAACGAACAAAAAACACTGCTTTTGTGTTTTTTCAATTACAACTCAACCCTTCTTTGCATGATTTTTTTTATTGGTGAAATAAATCTAGATGATATAATTCATGTACAAAATTAAAAGAAAAATGGGTAAAAGAATAAATTTCACAGCTATGTTTTTTTTTTCTGCAATGGACATTAAAAAGGTATCCAGACACGATCAATTTAAAGTGATCTTGTTCTTTTATATAGTTTTTGGGCATTCAATGTTATGATGGAAATTTCTACCATTACGCAAAGAAGGGATAATTTTACAACAAAAGAATTATGAATGGATAAAATGACTACCACAAACTCCGTATTTATATTGAAAAGTAAATTAAAAACTACTTGGCTACAATCAATCACAGTATTCTTGAACAGATCAGTCTCTACCAGAAGCACTCGTTCACGAGTATGACGGATGAGCCAGCCATCCTTGTGTTAAACTATATTATAGGCATCTCAACGATCCGGCCCACCACGCCGCTACCTTCATCTGAGACATACATATTATTATGCAATGGATTTACAGGGCACTGAGGAATAACATCTGAATCCTCAGTCATGGGAAGTATCAAGGGCGAAACAGTATCCTCTGTTATGCCCATGGTACTGCTCATGTCTATAGGCCACGATTACCGCTTTCCATCAGGTGGTCCGTCAGCTTGTTTGCCATAATGCAATGCAATTTTTTTATGTATCTAATTTGCATAATTTTTTTTTTATTAATTTTGTACAAATAATTATAATTTTAAAATATATATCACATTTACTTTAATGTTTTAGTCGGACGAACCTGAGAATTCGGATGAAGTGCCCAAATCGGATGAGACGTTCAACATCGATATACCAGGTTCCGTGACCCTGTGGGAGGCCAGGCCCAGGCCCAGCAGCAGTGCGCAGGTAAGACTCAATTTATTCGATAATAGCTTCTGCCGGTAACTACGGACGTGTGAATTTTGGAGGTAGATAATTTCTTCAATTTAGGAGATAGAAACAAATATACAGGCAGATAAACAGATAAAATTTCAAGACAATATTGTTTTGGCTTCTTTTGCGTTTATTATATAAATTTGTTCTTAAATATTTCCCACGCCCCAACATTAGCTAGTTAAAATTTCATTATTTATTTATTTCCCGTGGTTATAATAGGCGACTAAAGGAACTTAATGGACAAAGGATGAACAGCTGTGGAATGAGCTCCCTGCCGAGGTTTTCCCAAGAGACTACAGCATGGAATTCTTCAACAGAGGGGTTAAGAGGTTTCTTCAGGGTTGGCAACGCACGCGTAATACCTCTGGTATTGCAGGTGTTCATAGGCTACGGTAACCACCTACCATCAGGCCGTATGCTTGTTTGTCACCTCAGTGGTATAAAAAAAAAGATTATACAAATAAATTATATTCATACAATAAGCATAGCACACAGTTATGCACTTGGCTTAGGCCCGTGTACACCTGTAAAACCGAGATATCGTAAATTTAAAATATAATAACAAAACTTACTTGGCGTGAATTTACTGGGTACAGAGGAATAACACCTGAGTCCTCAGGAATGGCAACGCATGGGGGGTATCATGGGCGAAACAGTATACTCTGTTATGTCCATGATACTGCTCATGTCTATAGGCGACGGTTACCACTTTCCATCAGGTGGGCCGTCAGCTTGTTTGCCATTCTAAGTTGTATAAAAAAAAAAAAACTCAATTTCCAGTACTACCAGTTCACCGAGTTTGCGATGTCACTGAACGAGCTAGAACGTGACATGAAGGGCCAGCTGTGCCCCACGGACAGCAGACTGAGACCCGACGTGAGGCTGCTAGAACAAGGAGACATCGACGCGGCGGCTGCGGAGAAGACCAGGCTCGAGGAGAAGCAGCGCTCCGCCAGGAAACTGCTGAAGAAGAGCGCGGATGGTTGGCAGCCCAGGTATTTTCAAGACGTTATACTTGATACTATTATAATATAATATAATAGGAGGAAACTCTTAAATGAAAAGAGAGATTTAATACTTATGATTTAAAAAAAAAAAAAAAAACTCTCTAGGCTCTTTTAATTAGGCGTGTGTAATATGCATCCGATATCTATATATTGGGTTTCTCTGGATATTGATAACGGAAAAAGGTCATCCCCTAATTCGACATCGCTCATATCGGTCGGATATCTATTTTCGAATAAAAGTAATAATAAAAGTCTGTTATCCAATATTACTTTTTGGACAGACTTTTAATATATTCGTTATTGGATCAGAATATAGATATTGTAGCTAAAATATATAGATATTGCTATATATTACCCATCCTTAATCACTAGTAGATTTATGAAGCAAAATTTTATAAGTCATAATTATGTGAACGTCGAAGAGAGTGGTTTTAAAGTGTAAAAGGTTGTTATAAATGCAAAAAATAACAGGTTCCCTGTCGAATAGGGGTGCTACTGGTATAAAACATTTTCGTACAGTAAATCTAATTGTAGCAATTATATTTTTTAAATTATTTCATTCTTCATTCTTTATTGTACACAAAATACAATTTAATTTAATTTAATATGTAATTTAATGTAATGTAATTGAATTAACTAACTTTTTAATGTAGTTATTATTTTTAATAACTTTATATATTTCAATTTATTTTATTTATTTTTATATTTATTTATTTTTTAATTTAATCTATATATTTAATTTAATTTGTTTAAATTTAATTTGAGAGTACAATTTTTTTAATAATATTTAATTGTACGTGCTATTAAATTTTTCAGGTGGTTCAGCCAAGGAACAAATCCTTATACAAAACAGGAAGACTGGCTCTACAACGGCGGATATTGGGATCGTAACTACCAACATTTGAAAGATATTGATATATTTTAATGTTCCTTCATAGTTTGTATTTACAACGGCATTTGGAATGATGATACGTATTATAGATACGTAAGTACTTAATAACGTATAAAACATGGCGCATTGAATGTATTCCAAAATGTTATTTCTAAGCAACTTTAAAGTAAAAAGGACCAGCGCGTGAAAAAGGATACAAGATGCTAAGATGTAATCAATGAGATTGTAAGCAATGTGTAGATGTAAATGTTTAAAATTATATAAAAAAATATACAAGTAAGTAAAGTATAAATTATACTATATAACCTTATATTCAGCCTTCATTCATCTACCTACACGCTACGCTCAAGCTAACAAGTTCAAATTAGCGAGAAAAAAAAATATTATATTTTTACTGCAAAATGTATAACATTTATTACATATTTCATTCTGAATGGATCCTATTAATTTAGTGTATTTAATTATAAATCGGTATAAAATACCTAATCGTAGAACGACTATGTTTTAGTTAGGGAATGAAATAGGTACGTAATCACGTCTGCTCATTATTCGAAATGTACATATATATGTATGTATGTGTATAATGTGTACAATTGTATACATTTAACTGTGTAAATCTGTACTGTATACATGTTATTAAACATTGTAAATGTATACAGTATAAATTATTAAATTAAATAGATACGTGATCATGTCTGCTTATTATTCGAATATAAAATGTACATGTATTTAGTAAAATGTATAAAATTGTATACAATATACATGTCCTTGTACTGCTGAAGTTGTACTAGATATTGTGTATAAGTATGGATATGGATAATTTAAATACAATATGCAAACGTAACAATTTCCGCACCAGTTTTTTTTTAATCCATCTTGAAAGGGAATAAGCAAGGAATTAATACAGTTAACAAAAGACGGCAATTGGATCTTTGTCTTCATGAAGTATTTATAAAGTTTATTTGTCATATTGAGTTAACAAAGTGGAACTATATGTGGTAGAAAAAATCTTTTCAGAATTACTATTCGATAAAAATTAAATGTAAATTAAATAAGAATCAGAAAGCAAAGTGTTTTTAATCACAAAGTGGAGTCAATTACTAAGTAATAATAATATTTTTCATATAAAATAGGAAAGAATAGATATTGCGACAAAATATTAAATACAGGAAAGAGGATTTTGTAAAGAAAAAATATAATTATATTTCTATTTCATTACTATTGAACATAAGCCTTCTTCATAAGGGGAGTATTGTCAGTAGTCGCCACTCTTGGCAGCTGGGTTGGCAAACGCACTTAGGCTTTTAGACATTTTTTATGATGGACGCTGCTGCCCAGCCCTCTACCATTAGGTTTCCTTAGTCGCCTCTTACGACGCCCACGGAAAAAGAAGGGGTGGTCTATTCTATGCCAGGACCACACGGCCAATAATATACCTATACAACTGAAGAAAATACGTGTATTTTTTATGATAGTAAACAACTTGACGGCCCACCTAATGAAAAGTAAAAGAAAAGAAACTTCACTCGATCAAGTTTCGATTTAGGGCGAACAAAATCTTGTCCGATTCAACCCTAAGACACAAGTCTATGCGTTCACCGCAAAAGAGACGCTATTTGTTGTATCTCCTCACTTATAAAGAGTCTCCCTCTGGTAAACATAGTTTCTTTTTTTATCGAGCGCAAGTTGTTAATTAAATTTAACTAAGGAACTAATAAGGAATAGAAATTTAACTGATTTTTGTAGCAATATCTGTCGGATTAAAAAAAAAACATGTAGTATAAATGTATAGTTGATGTTGTTACGTTGCTTAACTGTGCTAAGGCCAAGCTGCGAGACGCTATAATAACATTGGCCCAATAGATTGGTAACACTTATATTTCATAATATTTACTAGAAGCTGCCTGTATAATTCTATGACGATTTTGTTGCAATTATGAAAGAAACTATATACCGGTTTCATTTATTACTATATCCTTTAAATTAATAATTTTTACGATTTTGATTCATTTTCTTATTATCATTTAAAATATATACGAGTATGTAAATTTGTAGTAATGTAGAATTAATTTTGTGAATTATAAATAGATGTTAATTAAAATGTACTTATTTAATTAATCGTTATTTTAAATTAAATACTAATTCAATGGCATAAAATGCTATAAAATATGAGTTTATAATTTTACAATTTGTAAATGTAATAATTTCGGACCTGGACATTTTAGTAAGCAGGTAGGTATGTAGTAGTATTTATTGAAGGTTATACCAACTCATAGTAGAATTTAGATTGTATATTAATATGTATATTAGAAGTAACATATACCCTATCTATATAATTTATAGCATCGCTAAGTTTTTTAATTTAAGAAAAAAAAATTGGTATATATTGTAGATTTATGTAGATACTGGTAAATACATTTACAGTCGACAACAAAAGTACTTGCAACATTACTATATAGTAAAGTTGTTGTTATATAAGTTATTTTACGTGCTATTTTATATTATTCAATTATTAATATTTTAGCAAATTTTTCCTTATTCACATCGTCTCTACGTAATGTAGTTTCTAAATATGGAATTTATTTATTTATTGTTAGAGAGGCAAACGAGCAGATAGCCCACTTGATAGAAATCGGCTACCGTCGTCCATGGACACCTGCAACACTAGAGGAGTTGCTTGTGCGTCGCCAACCTCTTCAAGATTTGTAGCCGTTTTTTGAAAAGCTCCATTGTATAATGTGTGAGGGGAAAACTAAATAGCTATTAGTATTTTTATTTTAGCTAATTTTAATTGGTTATTTAAGAAAAAAAAAACAGCTAAATGCAAATTATTAAGAATAAAATAATTGTATGTTTAAAGAAAAAAAAATTAGTTATACTTGTCCTTACTATACCACAGGAAACAAATTATTTAATTGGAAATAATTAGACAATACTTTAATTGCTGTGTTAGTGATTTTACATAATTATATAAATATGTGTGTGTCTATGAATCTCGTAATTGTTGCTACTTGTCTAATAGTGTGTGAAGATTCTATCTAATACTTCGATAAGTAGATAGTTATAAATAATATTCGATCTTCCACACCGTCTTTATTAATAATGTTTTTTTTTATTATTTATTTTACTGAAATAGGTGTTATTTTGCGGAAGTCCACATCACTGGTGGTTATTTGATTAGAAATATTTTGTTTAATTCCGCTACCAATTAGTATGTGTGTGACTGCCAACACTCTAAAATTTACCACCATCATTGCTGCCAGAAGTTCTATAACATTCCGTATTAGTCATAAATTTCCAACAACTAGCACGTTTTGCAACACGTATTTCACACACAATAGACAAAGAAATATGTATGAAACACGTGTCGCAAAACATGCGTGGACTAAATGGCAGTCGGAGATTGAGGGTTAATATGGAAGGTTGTAGACGCACAGAACGTAATAACAATGATAGCAGAATTAAACAAAATAATTCTAATCAAATATCCAGATTTCTTATGTAACAATGTTTTAGATCATAGTTAGGAAAAATATATTTATTATTAGGTACAGTCGCGTGCAATATACTCGATAGAAATTGTGTAATTACATCTCACAATTCGTTCATGAGGATGTCGCACAAATAAATAAATAATAATTCAAATGTTTGAATTATATATAGTGATGTGAATAACAGAGCAGTTAAGTATTTATTGCAACGACTGTACTAATAAACTTTGTCTTAATTTAAAAACTGTACAACAAAATAGTCCAGTGTTATTACTTCAAACTATTGAGATGTTTAGTTTAAACAGCTTATTTGTCTGTAGTATATATATATTGTTGTACTTTTAAATTAATTAAAGATTTATAAATTATTTTTTTAAAATCTTTCGATTGAGCTTATAATTATGTTGTACTATTAGTTAACTTTCTAATATTGTATAAGTATCTTAATATATAAATAGTTTCTAAATGTTAGCTAATAAAATGAAAAAAAAAAACATGTCCCATTCGCAGCTAAAATCTGTTTTATATTATATAAAAAAATATTGTAAATAAGTTTGGGAAAAAGATTAGACTAAATAGGTTAAAGTTATTGAATTATCTGTTAAAATACGGTACAGTTTGAAGAAAATAATTAGTGATGGTTTTATAATTAAAATTGAAAAGGATACGTGATTGATTCAGATTGAAATATATTATAATTAATTAGGAAAATGGATAATGAACTTAATTAATTAAATTAAAAATGATAAGGAAGTTAATAATTGTTTAGTTCGCAATATTTTAATAGAAATTTGAACAGTTGCGAATTCACTATCATTCAGTTGAATGAAACAACTCTGTGTCTATTGATAACTATCTGTATCTACTATTATTTAGTTATAAAATGGTAATTATTATGGAAGAATCTAGTCGAAAATATAGTTATTCGAGTACATAGTACTATTGAATGGATGTATGCAAATTTTTGAAGCCAAAGTATTGACCTGTAGGATTCAATTAAGTGTGATAGAGACTGTAAAATTATATAGGTACCTACCTATCTTAAATCTGTATGACATTAAATAAATAGACGGAAGTTAATAAATTGTTTTATTATACCTCCACTTCGTTATAACATCTCAAATACATTAAAATACAATTAGACGACCATATAATGACTTTGTAACTTTTCTAAAAGTCGTTAATCAGTTCTTTATTTGACAATGTTAGAGAATCAAACCAGAGGGAGACTTTGTACAAAAGTCGATTGCTTGGGTGCCTCTGTCCCATTCGTGTTTCTACCGTGAAGCAGTTGTGTTTGTTGGCTGTGTTTCGGTTTGAAGGGTGGGATATGGCGTGAATTTACAGGGTACAGAGGAATAACACCCGAGTCCTCAGGAATGGCAACGCATGGGGGGTATCATGGGCGAAACAGTAGACTCTGTTATGTCCATGGTACTGCTCATGTCTATAGGCGATGGTTACCACTTTCAATCAGGTGGGCCGTCAGCTTGTTTGCCATTCTAAGTTGAATAAAAAAAAAACTATAAATAAAAATATCATTGTATTACGTTATCTTCTATTGATGCCTATGAACCGTTATTCTTCATCCTTGTACATATATCATCTTTCATAAAACCCATCCATCTTTTCTTTAATAATTTCTTCACATTACTTTAATTGATTTAAATTTAATTCTTTTTTAAAAATTGTCTATAACTCTTTCATATGAAATTTACACCAAGATAAGCAATTTTTCGACGTCCTCGTGCATATTTAATCTTTAATTTATCATTTATCATCACTTCTATCTTCATATTTGTATTTTCAAACTCAAGTAATTATTTAATCTTGAGGCATGTCTAACACCCTTTGAAGCTGCATCCCTCAATTATTAGATTAATAGAAATTTAGGTGATTAATAGAAATAAGCAATTATAATTTTTTTTTTAGCAAAGTATATCCCATTTTTGGCATTCACTGAAATAAGGTTAAACTTCATAGGATCACTAATTGCATATTGGTATTATATTTTAAAATGAAACAAAAAAGAGTTAAATTACTGTATTTGGTTTTTATACTGTATCATGTATTGCAGTACACTAACATCACAATCACAACCTTAATCTAAAAATTTTTAATTATCACACAATGAAACAGAATAAATGTACAATAAAATACTACACATAGGCGACCAGATAAAAATAATAAATAATTTAATAATCAAAATTTGATTTCGTATTAAAGAAATAATATTTTTTTTTTTTTATAATTTCTAATAAAATTATGATATGTATTTATTTAGAACATTTTAATAATCATCTCTATTTTAATAATAAGTCTATGGATCAGTATTTTAGTAAATTGTATACATATTTTGAGTTTTATACAATTATTTTTATAAAACTTAAAACATGTATACTTACTGACTGTTCAACATTTATATCTTCTGGTCATGCCTATGTATTGGATATCCTTTTTAGTATAATGGCACATTACATGTCTATCATATATGTATTTATATAAACACGAATATGTATATAAAATTATAATTGGAATGGCTAACTATATTATCAAAATATTGAGCTTATTTCGAGGCAAGACTTGTAAATATGTAAAATTTTAATATATAATATATTCATGGTACACATTCATACAATATTTAATGAATTAACTTATATTATACTTAGGCATTAAAAGTATCACTTATATTGCTTATAAAGTATTAAAAAGTAGGAAAATATTTCTTATTAAAATAGGGACTGAATATAAAATATATCCATTTTATTTTTATTACATTTTATAATTTTAAGTATAATAAAAAGAAAACTCGACAAATAAGTACCTACCGAGAATCTGAGATTATGTTTAGTACTAGACTAAAGTAAACTCTTCAATATTTCCATAAAATGTAGGCTTATTTTAGACAGATTATAAAAATCAAAAAGTCCAGTACTATTTGCAATTAATAAAAAATATCAACAAGAATTATAGAGATCTATTGAGCAATAGGTCAATATAATAACATATTGATTTTTATTTTATTTATTAAATACGTATATTAAATTGAGTACCTAGCTGCTATTATTGTCTTTCAATTTTATAATTGAAATTATAAAATTTATTGACATTATTGTCCCCTGTCTATTTTCATCAGTTTAAAATCAGGACTGGGCCCATAACCTGTATACGAATATATTAATTTCAAAACGCACCACCAATGTACAGAAATATTGTCTTTTCTAATTTCAGTAGCATAACATACATACCACAGTACATAACCACTTAAGACCCCAAAACTTAAGGAATACACATTCCTGGTACACAAAACTGTAAATCAGTTTCTAATTGTAACAGAGATACAATCGTTATATCGCGCTTATTAATTTCAGATCAGAACGAAAAGCGTCGGTTTTATAAGGTTTAAATTTATTTTTAAATTACGAACATGCCTTTTTTAAACCCTATAGAACCTGATAAAAAATGGCCAGTGTCTTCAACCAGTTTCCACTAGGTGCTTTTCTTTTTTCTTCCAATTACAAATCGTAACATGAACCTGAAAGTAATTTGCCAAAGAGAAACTCCTTCGTTTCTATCTTCCTGATAAATTAATTGGTCTTAATCACTTAATAATTATTTCCTTATTATATGACGTATACATCTGTATAATTATTGCGCTTCTAAACCTGAATCCAGGAAATCTTTAAGGTACAAAGGCACAGCACGGGGCATAGCTCTGCAGATCTGTAAACAATAAAATTGATGCTAGAATTTGGAATTCACAATCATATAGGCATTATTTAAAGGCTGCCTGGGTACTTCTGTTTATTTCATGTTTCTGCCCTGAAGCAGTTATGTTTGCATGGTTGTGTTTCGGTTTGAAGGCATTACACCTTAGTCCTCAAGATTGACAACGCGTGAAGGTGATATGGGCGACATCAAGTGGGCCGTCAGCTTTATTTGACGATTTTTTTTATAATTATAATTCTGCAAAAAAAAAGGACCTGGCAGGTGGCGATAAGGTATGAAACAATGTTTAATAAGTCATCATTCATCATTTCAGCACATATCCTTCCACTGCTAGACAAAGGCCTCCCCCATAGACTGCCATAAGGAACGGTCCTAAGCCACCTGCATCCACTGACACCCTGTAATGCATTTGAGGTCGTCACTTCGTCTAGTGGGGAGTCGTTATACACTTTGCTCGTACGGAGTCGCTACTCAAGAACTGTTCTTCCCCATCGGCTTTTGGTTCTTCGAGTTATGTGATGTGACCAGCCCATTGCCACTTCAGCTTGTTTATCCTTTGGGCTATGTCAGTTAGTTTAATTCTTTTGCGGATATCCTCGTTTCAGATTCTATCACGCAAAGAAACTCTGACCATACTAGTCAGCTAGTAGTAAATTAAAACTAATGAAACAGTACTATTACAGCTTCATTTATTACAAGTATTCTAGCTTTTTTTATACACATATATACACACAAGGCAAGTGAGCATGCGGCTTATAATCATGAATAAAATTGTTAACTCAAAGAAACGATAAACAAGGAAGGTTCTCGAATGGCGACTCCGTATAGAGAAGTGCAGTGTGGAACCACTTTCCACTTGATAGAAGTACTTCATTCTATATCTGATTGAGCACACGTTTAAGACTCCGTGTGTAATTTAGAGATGGGTGTCTTATGAAGGAACAGCTGAATTGTTAAAAGTATTGGGCTTGGTATAATGTATTCAAAGGAGCATATTCATCACCAGAGGGGACTTTGTACAAAAGTCGATTGCTTGAGTACCTCTGTCCTATTCGTGTTTCAACCGTGAAGCAGCTGTGTTTGCATAGCTGTGTTTCGGTTTGAAGGGTGGGATATGGCGTGAATTTACAGAGTACAGAGGAATAACACCTGAGTCCTCAGGAATAGCAACGCATGGGGGGTATCATGGGCGAAACAGTATACTCTGTTATGTCCATGGTACTGCTCATATCTATAGGCGACGGTTACCACTTTCCATCAGGTGGGCCGTCAGCTTGTTTGCCATTCTGAGTTGTATAAAAATAAAAACCATACCGCATCGAAATTTTCAATCACACAGTAAATATTAAAATATAACTTCGTTAATGACAAACCTTACATTTGATGGAGGCACTTTTTTAAATACCTTTGTTATAGCATTTTATGGGCGAGTCCTATTTACTTGTGGAAGGTAGAAATATTAATAATGAAGTAGGTACTCACCATGTTGATATAATATAGTGAACTTGGAATGGTGATCTCGTAATAATTTCTGCGGACGGCATCAACAATATTGTCAGCTGCTTCTTGTGGGCTTAGTATTTTCAAAAGGGATGGAAATTTGATTTTTGGGTGTTTACAGAGTCCCGTGTCGACTATGAATGGGCAGATTATCGTCATTTTGATCTGAAAGGCAAAATAAGAGAGATAATAAAAACAAAAACCGTTTTGCAAATAGATAAGTATATATTACAGATATTATCTATAATATATGTAGAAATAATATAAAATTGAAGCAACACTTTGGTAACACTTAATTTTTAATTGTAAAAAATATCGGATAAATTTATGTATATACATTATCAACTCATTGTTGATATGTAAATGACATCAATAACAAAAATCGCTAATTTCCTGTTAAGAATAAAAAAAAACTATATAAAAAAAATAACATATCGACTAAATGCATATGTTAATGCAAAGCATATTGTTAATAACATGAACGATTATCTGATTTTTTTTAAGTAACATCTTTAATATAATCTCAAATGTCTTACTCCACTGTAGTCTTTCTTATCTTCTCTCAATTCCTCGTGTAGTGCTTCCATCATACCCCTAACTGCGAACTTAGTAGCACAGTAGGGAACCAGGTTTCGGAGTCCAACGACACCGGCCATGGAAGACATTGCCACGATATGCCCATGATTCTTCTCCATCATCGAAGGTAGGAAAGTTTGGAGTAGCTGCAAGAAAGATTGGATTAGATACAGCAATAATTCGAATATATATTGTAACTATAACAAGAACAAATGAACGGGAACCTTCTAGATATTTCTGGTGAGAAAAAATCTAGTAAAATTTTACTAAATCGATAATGTACATGCCAAAAGTGATACTTTGGCATGTAAAGTATCAGGTTGGAGGAATTATTAGTAAAGAAGATTCCTACTTAGCATTATACCCTGTTGGATTAATCTTTATGCGATCTCCCTGGAAAGAATTTCTGATGAATTCAGTTGGTCAGTTGTGATCTTATTTTATCCTCACCTATCCATCATTCGTCTTTAATTTTTACAGAAAGTGACTTTATACAAAAGTACTAGGATATGTCTATTTCTCTGAAGTGTTTTTGCGATAAATTAATTATGCTTGTATTCGATTCGAATAGTTGGATATGACATAAATAAGAAATAAATATAACATCTTAGTCTTTAAAGTAACGCTTGAAGTATTAGTGTATTCTGTGATATCGTTTATAGGGTACTGTATCAGGTGAGCTGTTAACTAGCTTGCCATTCTAAGTTGCATAAAAAGTGCATATGCTTACCCAGAAGTGAGCAATAATGTTGACCTCGAATGCACCGCGTATTGCCTCCTCACTGGTCGTGCTAAGCGGCTTGCAGGGCATGATACCGGCGTTGTTTATCAGCATTGTGACGTCACCCACTTCGCGGCTAATCTTGTCTTTCAATGCGATAACTGCATTTCTGTTTGTGACATCGCATCTGAAATGCGATTATTGATTTAGAGCATGGAACACTTAAACCAACAGAAGATTTTGGCTATTGAAAGAGTATATACGACGTATAAGATTCTACGTCCTGATTGGAGATGCTTTAAACCCGGATAATAGGTTTATTAGCTCGAATTCTTTCGGACTATTTACATGTTCATTGTCAGATCCTACAATTCTGTAGTCGTTAAATGCTTTAGAATATCATACGGACTGTCCATATTTAGCACATATTATATTGAAGTCGAATACCCTGCGTTTCGAGAAACTACTTAAAGAACTTATGAATAACCCTGAACACCAAAACAAGATGTAATATAGAAATCTTCGTTTCCTTAATAAATATGACTGGAACTTAAATCCGGGACTTCATTCGCGCACAGCAAAACCTGCCTCTATGTTACGGAAGTCGTCGAAATGTAATAATTATCATAATAATTAAGTAATAAACATAATCATTACTAAAGTTCACTTGATGATGATTGTATATAAATATTCACATACGTCATCTCAATAAATCAATATGTTACATAAGATTGGCTTATCTATTAGCATATACCCACGCCTATATGGTTGTTAAGTCAAACAAACATCCAAGGCTTCCGTATATATTAGACACATACTGTTATATTAGTAATGTAAATAATATAATCACCCTACTGTCTTTTGCAATTTCTGGTAATTTAAAACGGGAATTTTCAAATTGAAGGTGAGCTCTTTTAAGGACGCAGAGTTGTATGAAAGGGTCGCGGATCCCGGTTCAGCGTGCACAGATAAGATATGAGAATGTTATTGAAAAGGAACATAACTTTCAAAACTCCTGAATGGGGAAGATATTTGTATATAAAATTTGTATACCATAGAACTATTTTATGTTACATCCCTATTGGGAGTACGTCGGGTACCACAAATTATGCAGGAGCTATTTACCACCTCCACGATGTAGGTTGCTACAGAATATAAAAAGAACTGGTGTTTTTTATGTTCTGAAAGGGTTGCAGGCTCTGGACTTTAGTCACCCTTTAAGACTTTACCATGAGTTTGTAGCGTTCTCTACACGTTGGTGAAGCTATAAAGGCAATCAGCAACTAGTATTAGACTTGTTCGAAAAAGTCGTCGAACTTACTCGAATCTGAAGGCTCTTCCCTTGTCTCTCTTGATGATATCCACGGTTTCCTGGTTGCCAGCCGCGTTAATATCGACACACACTATTATCCCACCGAGTCGGCCGAAACGCATCGCCATCTCTCTGCCCATCCCGTGACCGGCTCCTGTAATCTGAATTGAAATCGTTTATGTTACATTACTTAGTGCTTATAGTATAATAACATATTCATAGTCTAGTGGCATATTCCGCATACCCTAATAGTTAGAGAGTATTAGTTTTGCCATGTGCTCCCTGGATAGAGTGGGCCAACCCTTCCTTACCCGTGGATATTGAAAGAAGCGACTAAGGGAACTTTATAGTCAAAGGATAAGCAACAGCGTCCCTCTTAAAACATCAAAACCAAACTGCAATTGCCAATCGACCTGCTAAGCGTGGAAACTACTGACAAAACCCTTCTTATGGGAGAGTCCTAGGGAGTCCTTTAGCAGAGCTATAGACAGATAGCTAACGACTGATATGATAATGCTGAGTATTAAATGTCAAAATAGGATGCCAGGGCCAGCACTTTCGGTATTTACTGGAGAGATACCAGTGAGAGATAACAGATGAGAATAAAGTCAGGTTAATTGGCCCATCATGCATAGTTTTCAGAAAGGACCGCGTGAAGTTCGACCTGAGGGTATATTGGGACCACATGTTTTGATTACTGTCAAACTTTTTCTCCTATAATTAGAAGGTACCCCTTAGTCTTGCATTAAAATACGGATGTTTGAATTATTTTTATGACAAGGATACGATATGTACGTTTCTACTACTAACAACATAATTGGACATGATTTATCTATTTTGGCCACCAAGTAAAATTGTAAATCCTTAATAGACGTATTTCCTAAGTCATCATCGTTGCAGATAGTGCTAAAGAAAACATGCTCAATTTAAAATTCTTCGCAGTAGTTTCCTACTGATTCCAACAGTCTCAAAACCGAATTCGAAAACTCAAAAAATCGCCTCTAATCTAAATGAACTACGTACTATATTTGAATAACAAATATACATTATCATCTATCTATAGATCCGGATACGTACTTGCTAGTTTCATATATATTTTTATTATTTATCCTTGTTATCGGACAATATAAAAGGTCGACTAAGGTTGACTAGGGGAGAATGCTTTTAGCATCAAGTCCGCCATGTGCCTACACATACATGTACTAATGAATAAATAAATAATGACCTCTATTTGACCAAATGTTAAGGAAACTTGCACTTTGTTTTTTCTTGTGACGCCAGGTACTATTAACATTTCGTTTTTCAATAAAAGGAAATAACATGTAATTTAAATCGACTCATGAATACCATAAATACATTATACTTATGTAGGTATAAAACATATAACCTTCAAATCTGAGAACAAGGAAGACGGGGTGTACCTGATACCTTTAGAATGCATAAATACTCGTATACCGGTATTATTTCGATTTCATATCGAAGCAACTTTTAACTGAATTTAAAAAGATTTAAGTTCTCAATTCGGTTGTAGTTTTTTCTTTAAGTTTAACAAAAACTCATAACTATATCAATTATGAACCGATTCGAAAAAAATCTATATAATAATAATCTAGTTCGCATCACTAATTCAATATTGTAGTCTCTGCTGTTAACCCTTAAAGAGCTATAAACAGTTTGTTGCTAAGAGAAACAGGGAAACGTATTTGGCGACACGATTCCGCATTCTAAATTAAAATATATGTAATTAATCAAACGTCTCGTCGGCCGTCAACGTGTGTATATCTTTAAGATTTGTTTATACCGATTGTAAAAAAAAAAATATAAAAACAGTTAAATATTCTTTATTGCGCTTAAACATACAATAATGATAACAATTAGGAACAATGTAAGCAAATGTGAACTTATCTCTAAAAGAGATCTCTTTCAGTCAACCTAACACAGTGGCATAGGGGGAAAGGGATTGTTAGTAATGGAGACTGAGAATCCTATTGCTAGCAATATACCCAACCAGGTCGACCTCCTCGCGGTTCCTCCTGGAAACTATCATGGTTAATTCCTGATGAATTCATCATGATGGGCTAACTGGCCTGTTTTTATTCTCATCGATCACCCTTCACTGGTGCTCCGCCAGCGTATCCCGTTAGCCCAGGCGGAGTTACCATACCATTTTCATCCAACAAAAAAAAAATGCACTACACAAAAATTGCGAGACAAACTAGTTTTTCAAAACATATTGTTATGTTGTCTTGGTTTCCATTGGTCTTACGACGCTTCTCATATACTACATAGACAATTCACAGCTTTTAAACGCGTATTCCATAAACAATGCTTAATAAAAGAAAAATCCGTTAATCGAATGTTTTTTTTTTTAATATCTCTCATGTATAGATGTAGTTTAATTACAATTTTTATATATTAGTAAGAGAACTCACCATTATGACCTCGTCTTTCACGCTTTTGGGTTCAGGTGGCACGAAGAACTGGTAGATGCAGTATATCCAGGTTAGGGTCATCTTCACATACAGCACCATGATCTCGATGGCTATGGATACGGCATGGTACACCTTCATGCCGATGCCTTGCTCGTCCGTCCTGAGTAACAAAAAAAAAACAATAAAATTATCAAAACAATATATAAATAAATAATAAATATTGAACTATCACGACGCCATCTAGCTCTTGAATAAGTAGAGCTTATAATATGGGTACTAAGCAATTAACAGACATACGTAAGAAACATACTTGGTAATGTGTCATTATCCGTTTAAATTTTTTATAGTTTGTGAATTTTACAATAATTAATAATCAATATTCATTAAATTATAATACTTGGAATTACAATTGCATTTAAAAACATTATGTATGTTATTTATATTCAATTGTTAAATAAAAAAAATACTAGAACATTCTCGACAAAGGTAGCTGATTGGAAACAGGATTACATGAATAACAATTATGCTTTAACTACTTATAATTTAAACTATTTATAACTTATAATTTATTCAGCAAAAAATATTACCTAAACATTAGACTATCGTGACATAAGAAATCATTTTATTCTTATTTTAAAACCAATAAAATACGCCAACGTACGACGAGCTGTTTTGTAAACACATTTGATTGAAAATATTTAAATTTAGAACGCGGAATTTTTGTTGTAATAAATTTTGGTTCTTACAGATTTTTCTCGTTCCAAAATTACCGAAAACTAACACAGAAGTGAACTAGGTTTTCTCTAGAGACTGCACTATGCGGGGAAATGCGGGCCACCAGTCCTATTGCTAGCAATATACTCTGTCAGGTCAACCTCCACGCGGTTTTTCCTTGAAACCATCGTGCTGAATTTCAGGTGCATTCATCATGATGGTCTAATTGACCTGCTTTTTTCATTATCCACCTATCATCCCTCACTGGTGCCCCACCAGCGTATACCGTTAAAGCAGGCGGGGTTACCATTCCATTATCATCCATTTAAATAAACTATGGGGTTCTCTAAAAAGGGTGTATTAAGGTTCCGTGCCGTGTACCGTAACCGTGTGGTCCCGCCATAGATTAGGCCACCTCTTCCTATCCCGTGGGTGTCATAAGAACCGACCAAGGTAGGATAAGGGATGGGCAGCAGTGTCCCTCTTAAAACATCTCCAAAGCCTGACTGCGGTTGCCAAACATGGCAATTACTGGAAAAACCCCCCAGGGGGAGGCATTTGTTCAGCAGTGGACAGTTAAAGGCTAATATGATGATTATGACAGTTTCTTCAGGGCTGGCAACGCGCACGTGGCACCGTATACCATCAGACGGACTACATGCTTGTTTCCCATCTTTGTGGTGTTAAAAAAAAAGTAAACTCTACCGATTGCAAAAAGATTTAAGTGAATTCAGAATTAGACACGTTAGAAGAGTTTTATATTCCTCTGTTGGTTAGTCGAGGACTAGACTTTTGGTGGTCGCTATAGGCGTATTCAAAGGGGGCCGGGTGGTCCATGCCCACCCCAGAATTGTCTAGTGCCCACCATAGAATAAAAAAGAAGCTTTCAGCTATGCGTAAAGATATACCTTAGTACATAATGTAGCTATACATTTTTAATGAGTAAGGATGGAATATTAACCCCGCTTGTGGTATTCGTATACGTTGACGGGGCACTAGTGAGTGATGACAGGTGACGATAAAAAGCTAGTTTAAATATTATATTTCTGACAGTGATACTATTTTGCAAGTCGGTAGACAAAGAATTTACTAAAACATTGAAGTGCTAGTGGCCAATATCAATGGCATGTTATGCAGTGGCACTAAATTGAACTTCTAAGGGATGTCGGATAGTCCGGAGCCATCGTAGAATATTCTGGTGCCCATTCAGAATGAAAATGGAGCTTTCAGCTACGCGTTAAAGCATATTTTGGATTTTTTTTATAAGACTTAAAATGGCAAACAAGCTGACGGCCCACCTGATGGAGTACATAATTTGGCTTTTTAAAGGACCGAGTCCTTTAAAATCCTTAGATAATACGTGAATTCTCATTGATAATAAAACCTTATAAAAATTGCTAAGGATATTGTTTTATTTTAATCGTGCATGGAAAAATACGAGATCATAATAATTAAAATATAATGTAGGTTTTTTCCATTGCAAGATCTGTTGCAATGAATTTTTATGAGACCGGCGACCTTACGAAACATGCTCACGTTCTATAGTTCAAGTTCGAGGTCGCGTGCGCACGCGCAATCATCACAACAACTGCCGGTTTCACGGGGTGTGGCGCCAACCTGTGCCGAATGTTTCTGAAGTTTATTCAACTTACTAGCTTTTACAAGTGACTCTATCCGCATTACCGACATTGTTTACTGACCGAAATAAAAAGTAGGTTGTATTCTTCTCAAAGGACCAATTTTACTCATTACCAAAGTTCATCAAATCATAAATGTGAAGTAACAGACAGAGTTACTTTGCATTTATAATATTATTCAACTTATTCTTTAGGGTAGGGGGGGGGTCGGGGATTATTAATAATGGAGTCTAGTAATATAATTGAAAGAACATGTTTTTACAATGGGTACTTTAATAGTATTTTTAATATCTAACTACTATAAATATTGATAACAAGACCTTAAAATATTACTTAAAAATAAAAAAAAATTGCCATCTCTTCCAGGCAAACTTAGTATACGTAACACGAGTACAGGATAAATAGATGAAAGCTCTATAATTAGTATACCTCCTGTTTTTATTATAGCACGATATGTGACCACATCATCCTGTGGGAACACAGAGACAATATGCTCCATGAATACGATCAATCGAAAAGAGAATGATGTACTCTCAATTGATGACCGCACTAATTGCTTTTTCACATTACGTTTGAAGAACCCGAGGTTATAATTTACTGTCTGACTCGATCCACTGAAACTGCGTAGCGTAGAGAACTGTTGCATCTCTGTGCATCTTCTAATGAATTTATCATGGGGAGTGCGCTGAGGAATTGTTCGGATTGATACCTGCTACTGATTTTCACCATCGTACAACCGCCACAAACTAAAGTTTCATCCCAACTATCTGGACGAATGGCGGTCCTCCACCGTGCGTTTTTCAAAGCACTTTCTTCCACGCACAACCATTCTTTGGAATCAACTTCCAGTAGCAGTATTTCCGAACCGATACGACATCATAACCAAGAAAAGAGCATTTTCACACCTTTTTTTTTTAATGTCTGGAAAATGCTTTATGCAGATCCATACATCTTGTGGGAGGTGAATGAGTACTGTGGGAATCCCACCATTAGGCGGGGGTGTACCCACCAAAAACCAGACGATATACCTTCTGCCATATCTCGGAGACATGGGCTCGCTTTCGCACTCACCACGTCTCCGAAAGCATTTTCACACTTGCAATGCCTTTGTTTTGGGTGACCCTGGGCGGCGGTAGTCACTTACCATCAGGTTAACCGCAAGCTCGTTTATTTCTTGTGTTATAAAAAAAATAAAGAAAAGACGTCTCAGGAAAGACCATTCCATATTATTACGGTACGATTCACATAAGAATACTAGGGTTTAAATGGAGAAACTATTATATCGATGGTTACGTTTTCACTATGGCATGAATAAGATAAAACGAGACAGTAAGACCTACCGTGTTGTTCTTTCAAATACGTGCGATATCAACAGATAGATTCGTTTGTACCTATTTAATGAGGTAGATCTGATATGTTAATGATTTTAACATTCGAGTGTTAATTAAAAAACAAACGCACCTCGTATAGTTCTCTATTGAACATAGTTGTTAGCTAAATGTAATTATTTACAGCTTCATTGCTTCGTTGGTTTTATTTGTAAATTCCTTTCTCTTGCATTACTATATCTTTTTTTTTATATAAAACCTAGAATGGCAAACAAGCTGACGGCCCACCTGATGGAAAGTGGTAACCGTCGCCTATAGACATGAACAGTACCATTGACATAACAGAGTATACTGTTTCGCCCATGATACCCCCATGCGTAGCCATTCCTGAGGACTCAGATGTTATTCCTTTGTACCCAGTAAATTCACGCCATATCCCACCCTTCAAACCAAAACACAGCCATGCAAACACAACTGCTTCATGGTAGAAACACGAATGGGACAGAGGTACCCAAGCAATTGACTTTTGTACAAAGTCTCCCTCTGGTGAAGTATCGTATCTTTTATGACATCATTAGATGAGAAAATATTATTTGTATCGGGGGCCAGTGGCTTCACTGTTAGCAATATATTATCAAGTCGTACTCCACGTGGTCTTCAATAGAAATCATTGTATTGTATTGTAAAATTTTTATTCTACATGTATTGGGCATATTAAAAGATTTAATATACAATGGCGGACTTATCTCATAGAGGAATCTCTTACAGTCAACCTTTGAGAAGCTGAAAGAAAACTATAGAATGTTCAAGGGTAAAAACTGAACAGCTAAAGATAAACTCAATAATACCTAGTTAAATTTGAGCATATAACACAATAAAAAGTAAGTGTATATATAACAGTATATAGTGTGTATATATACACCTGCATATGTAAATAATAATACATAAATAATAAAATACCATTAATACATAAATAAAAAATTAAAAATAATAACAAAAACCTATAATTATAAATATATAAACGACATATACACAGATACATATTTTCACAACAGGCTCTATGAAATAGGACTTTCAGAATAAAATTTAACGATCCCTGCTTTAAAGTATTTTAATGATTGTGCCATCTTCAAGTTATTAGAAAAGGAGTTCCAGAAACGTTATCATCATGATTATCCGGTGAATTTGTCACGATGGATCAAATGACCTGTATTTATTCCCACATACAATTCCTCACTACATGACTCTACTTATAAACAAATAGCACAGGCAAGTTTACCTACTACTACTACTACTACTACCTACCTATTCTATTTGGGTCGAGTAAAAAATATCTCCTTTTTGTTGAATTTTATCTTTTATTTTCTAATCTCGGATCCTCCAAAATAATGTAAAAAAGTATGGGCAATCGTTGAGGATAAAACCTTTTCTTTTAAATTAATCACATTCGTGGACCATATTATTAGAGTCCCAGTAGACAG